TTTCCAATTAAAGTCTCGTCCTGAGTATTGGAACCACCTCTTAACTGCTGTTGTTCCTAGGTTCATCCTGACCAGGGGTGGTAGCACCCGTTAGGGTCCCAGTTATAGACAAATAGTGAACCCTCAAACAAAAATCAACAGTAAATTTTTATAGGAAAATGACCAACAATACATTTTATATTAAAATGACAATCAACATGACACTAAAAATGTATACAAATATATTTTTATATAAAAAAAAAAAACATTACTAGCTACAATAGATTTTTGTAGTGAAATTATCAGCAACACATTTAAAAAATCTAAAAGACATACCTTTACCTGAAAGTATGGTGTTATATACAAAATATTTAGATTTCAAAATTAAATAACCCAAAGAGATGTTGACATGACACTAAAAAACGACCATCCACCAGCCTAACAAAAGTTAGAGACATTAGTTTTATTGCTATGGATGGGATTTGAACTTGACACACCAATCCCTCTGTTTAGGATTGGGTGTCGATTGTGGCCTTGTTAGGGCCAGAAATAAAGACAGAAAGAGAGGAATTGAGTTAAACAAATATATTAACTAAAACAGTAATACAAACATATACAAATGAGAGTGTTACAGCAAGAATATTCGGTCTGACTGTCAGAGCTGACTGCTGGAAACTCCTCCCACCCAAAAGGCAGTACCTGCTCCTGTTTATAGATGGAGGCGTTTATGCGGGCGTGGGTAAATTACCATAACTGTCCGATTCCTTCTAAATAATACTACTGGTGAACGCAACCAACCCCCGAAGACACCAACGATAGAATAGGTAAAGATCGATACAATCACACCGGCCAAACCAGGAGAAAAGGGTAGCATAAGCAAGGCGGACCTTGACAGACCAAGTTCATACACCTGTAGGGCCACATCTCGCCTGTCTCAATCCCATTTTCAGCCGCGAGGGAGGTGCATCTGGCCAAGTGTTTGGCTTCTCCGTCGCATAGAACTGTCCACTAAAATCAAATTCATGCAAGAGGCCACCACCAGCAGGGATTTTAGGGGAGAGAAAGGAAATAAGGAAGAGGGGATGACGATCCCGATACACGGATGCAAGCGGGTACCAAAAGCAACTTATTTTTCAGGTGGAAATTTGGAGATTTTTCAACATATATTTCAGGTACATCATCACATTTCAAAATTATAGTTTACTAGCAGGCTTCGTCCGCTCGCTAGCGTATCGCAAAGTAAAATATATTCACTACTTGAAATCTTTAAAACAAAAATTTTAAATGAACATTTCATTCATAAATTGGTTTGTTATAGTTAAGGAAAGTTTTACAAATAGATGCCAACTTGTCGAAAACCAAGTAAAATGCAAATTTCAAACACTTTTCTGCACTATATAAGACGTTATTCCTAAACAGAACTATTTTTGATATGAAAATCAAAACAATCCCCGGATAAAAGAACAGTAATAAAGGATAGTTAATTAATGAAATAAACTTTTTTTTTAAATACGTTTATTTATCCTCTCTCAGTTGCGTCTCTGTCTTTGGGCAGAGTCCGCTGAGGGGTGGCTCCGTCGAAGGACAAGGGTCGCAACTGAGGAAAATTATACTGAAAGATGCCCAGCCCTGGGGAACAGCTGCCCGAGGCCGCACCCTCTCATTGCACTAGAGTGAAGGATCTGTTCTCGCACCGAGGCCAGCGCAATTTTTGTTCTTAGCCTGGGTGTACCCGCCGGGATCCCCACATTAAACCGACCTTGTGTCACAACACGACTCTGTTGGGGGTGAATAAAATACCAATTTTCTATACAGTAGAGTAGGGTTAATTTAATTTCAGAATTCGTGGAAGAAATAGGCTCCAACTTCGAATTTATTCAGATAGATTCCATAATATTGGTTTTACTTAATTAGCTATTATATTTTTCTAACTCTTCAAATGTTGAATGTATAACTAATTCTAATTTCTATTTTCCTATCTTTACACTATATTAATTTTATCTTATAAATTGTCGGCTGTTCTTTCACCCATGAAATAAAAATAATTGTTTGTACGGAAAATAAGGATCTACGTATATTTAATCGTCTTTAAGTAGCAGCAGAAGAATTATCGTTGAACTTTTTAAAGGTAAGCTTAAACATTAATTTAATACTTAATGTTATGGTCCAGGTTAGGACCAAGGAAGAACAACACGAACACGAGAGTAGAAATAACGAAGGTATATTACACGAAATAATAATACAAGATGTGGAAGGTGTTGTATGACTGTCAGTCTGGTTTGGAGTGAACTACTATCGGCTCGACTCGATTCGGTATCTAGCCCCCCCCAAGAGGGTTGCATGTGGCACAAGGCCAAGTTTAACGTGGGTTTCCCGAGCCCGTAGGCTCGGCCAAAAATGCCCGTAGAACCTGTATAAACGGGATCCGGTTGGTCAACCTCCCCGAACGAGACTCTGCCCTTTGGCGGAGCCTCGTCCGGGTTCCTCTCTGCTCAGAGGCAGAGAGTTCGACCGTCAAGCCGAGAAGCTCGGTTTGATTCGACCCTCTCTCTTGAGAGGCGTAGTATACATAGTGTTAGGAAGAGTTCATTCTGTAGTTATAGGTAAGGACCCATGACACTTAAATACAGCAATCAATTTTGAGTTCTTCTGTAGTTTATTGATGCCTACTGCATCTACTCCTCCCTAGCAATCGTGATGATGGCCAAACCAAGAGTCCTCCACAGGAACTAGCTTAAATGCCAGCCGATAGGGCGGCTTTTAAGCTGGTTTATAATAAAACGTGCTCTACAATTTTGGATACAAAAAGAAAATAAGATTTACTCCCCATGAACCATGAAAGCAACGATAATTGCTAGTATAATATATTAATATATATTTTTAACCTCGCATAATCTGGCAACCCCGAATCTTAGCTCAACAAAAATCGTTCTCTGCGTCAAAGTTTTCTAGGGCTTTTGAATGAGCTATGAATCATTGAAATCGGACCAGTGGAAGCGGAGGAGTTTTATGGACATACACACGCAGAAACGCACATACATACACTGTGCTTTATATATAAGATGATTATGCATAAAAAAAATGGCGTTTGTTTAAAAAGAAGCCCTCAGGATATACAGGTTGTCCATAAAGTTCGTGTGCTCTTTAAAAAATTTATAACTTTATTTCTATTTACGATAGAATTAATTTGTAAAAAGGATTAGAAAGAAGTAAATCTATATTTTTTAAGGTTTTATTGAAATTTTCTTTAAGTTTCCACGTGTTTTCCGTCATAAGCAATGCAATGGGTAATACGATTTTGCAGTTCACGGAAAACATTTGCCAACTGATTTACAGTAATGATCAGTTATTTTAGCTTTCAAATCTTCTAATGAACTAGGTTTGGTTGCATACACAATTGTTTTCACATGTCCCCATTAAAAAATTTAATGGACTTGCTGTAAAGGATTTTTCTATAGATGCAACACTTTCGTCGCTGGTACATGGCCTTCCAGACCGTTGCTTATCATGGACGGAGCCTGTCTATTTAAATTTTTTCATCCATTTAGCAATAGTGTTCCTATGAGGTGGTTCTTTATTGTATTCAATTCTAAACTTTCTTTGTACAACAATAGTAGATTTCAGTTCAGCCAACCAAAGGACACAGTTTACTTTTCTCCTCAGTTGAAGCCATGGATCAAATTGATTCTGGAAAAAAGAAAATATTTTTTTACTCATCTAAAAATTGTTGCAAATTTTGTGGTAAAGAATTATTTAATAAGTATACTTAAAACTAGGTACATTAAACTTTATAACATTTTTTACAGATTATTTCTATCACAAATACAAATAAAGTTATAAATTTTTTAAAGTGCACAGGAACTTTATGGACACCCTGTATTATTAATTGAGACGTTATTTTCTCATTTATAGTGAACATTTTGATTAAAGTTTCTAGTTTCTTGATTTCACATGAAAATTTATATTTGACTTCACTTTCTACGGCTCAATAGCCGACTTGATTAAAGCATGTGTTTGTGAATTTGATGATATTTTAATTGTGGGTTCAATCCTTGGTCCGGGCAGTGTGTACTTGTACTTAGTGGAAAAAAAGGTTGGCAATAAGTGAGAACTAAATATAAGAACTTGACGAGATACCTCTACACATGGGCAATGGAGTGAGAACAGTCTCCTCCCGAAGATTATATAAAGTGGAATTCCCTGTAGATCGATACACACCTGAGGAAGGCCAGAGAGCGCAATGGCCGAAGCGTTGTACTAACAACAAAATGAGGACAACAATCAGCATGTAAATACTTTAAACAATTTAATTGAAAACTTGGACATTTTCCTAAATCAGAGTTTATAAAACTGCTGTAATGGAATGTTCCACTCTTCCTATTGTGAACTGACGATATCAGTAAATATACATAGTGTATAGCTCAGATGTGGCAAAAGGCCGAAAGTGCACCTAGTAAGGATCGAACTCACTACTCAATCGTAATTGATCTAGCAGGACAAGCTTTCTAACCATTACGCCACGTCGAGGTGCCCTAGTGAGCACAGAATATACCTGTTACTTGCTTCGGCAATTAGTAGGAGAATCGTCTCCAGTTGTGCTGGTCGAACTCTCTGCCTTCGGGCAGAGAAGAACCCAGACAAGGCTTTGCCGAATGGCAGAGTCTCGTCTGGGATGGTAGACAGCTAGCCGACCCCGTTTTTTTTTTTTTTTTTTTTACTGAGTCTACGAGCTCGGTTTTAACCCCGCATTAAAAACTGCCTTGTGCCACATCCTGCCATGGGGGGGTGAGGTGGGGGGGTTAAGGTAAATATCCTTGCTTATGTTATTACTAGCCTGCTATCCGATTCCCTTTCTTTCAGTAGTGTATTCTCTTTTATTCTTTTTACAGGAGGCACGGTGGCGGATGCTTGGAAAATCACTATATAGTTATACTAAATAACCCATAGCTGGGAGGAGAAGAGGAGGATATGTATTTTTCCAATTCCGAGTCGTTATCTATTACACTACCCGCACATCTAAGCTTACAGCACCTTGTATTCTTAGGCGGTCACCCAACTTGATACTGACTAGGCTCGGTGCTGCTTAACTTCGGTGATTGCATGGAAATTGGTGTTTCAACGTGGTTTAGTCGTAAGCCCAAGGCGCGGAAAATAACATATTTGTTTGAATGAAAACTGGATAAAAATTTTAATTAGCGACAATATGATTTATTTGTTTTAACTTTATTTATTCTTACTGAAAAAAAATTGCTTTCCTGGCCTCATATTCTAATCACACATTTTTTTTCTTTAGGCATTCAGAGATTAAAGAATAATTAGAAGTCTTTTAAATTAATTAATATAAAAAGTCTCTGTGTCAAACCGAATCGAAAACTTTACAGTATTTTGAATCTCAGAGAATTAATCAATAAACTACAAATTATACGAAAATTTAAAATTCGGAATAAAAATTCCGTATATTACTATTATTTTTTTCCTGGGGTGTTTATCGCACGATTGTTTTGTTGTGAGGATCTTTTGTCATAAGAGTGGTGTATTTCTCATATATTAATTAAAATGAAGTAGAGAATACCGTATGTATTTGGTAAAGTGTGAAAAAAGAAAAAGAAATAATCTTCAAACACAGCTCGAAAAATTCAAATATTGAATGTAAAAATATTTTTCTTTTAACTTGAAAGAAATATGTTATAAAATTTCTTTGTTCAGTTGGTTTTTAGCACTCAATTGGAAATGTTTTGTTTTTTGCAAATCAAAATAAAAAAGGAATGAAACGGAACTGTGTTAGTATATCGTAGAAAATACATGCTATGTGTGCGTAGCGTATTGTATAAGCAGGCAGAAAGTTTTACCTAAAAATCAACTCAAATATACCTAATAACAACTGTGTTTTTGTTTTCGGTGACGCTTTGTGCTTTCGTAATAAAAACCTTGAAAACTGGTTTCTGAAACTATTCTTAAAGCGAGTAATAATTTCACAAATGGAACGTTAGCACTCAATAAGTTTTTTTTTAATGAGAAATCGAAAATTGATAATTCAGTAGTATTCACATAAAAGGTGCAAAACTTAATTCATCTACAAATCAGATTTTCTACTGTGAACTAAAAAAAAAACTCTTATTAATAACTTCCATAATTATATTGTTGATGAACAAATAAGATGATCTATTAGAAAGTTTAATATAAAGCAAATAGAATATAATACTTCTTCAACAAATCCCAAACATATTAATCTTTTATATCACAATACATTCTCATTATGAACAAGGTGAAAATATCCTAAAAAAATTAATAAATATTTACTAACAAATACGATATACTTTTTTCTTTTTAATTATCTGTTTTCAGGTGAAAAAAAAAAACTAAATTGTAAAAGAGTGATGGGTGTTTTTACTTATTAATTATTACAGGTAAAATTATCAGCCAGATGCACCACAAAATAAAACGTCAAGGGTTTAAAGTGTTATGATATATGCTTACCTCTCCACCTACTAACGTGTAGCAGAAAACCAACATTGTTTATAAATTTAAATATCCTTTGTGATATTGCATCTCCAACGGAACAAAAATTATATTTACGATGGACACACTACGACAACATTGTCTCGGCGACTGAGTTTTCATTTGAATAAAATGTCTAACATTTCTAAAGATTTACAACAGCATACCTGCTCACGTTAGCTAATTCAGAAAAGTTCTTGTTAAAAATACATTTTCATGAAAATAATAAACAATGCTAACTATATTAAAAACTTGAAACCAAACCATAATAAAATCAATTATGAATACTGAACATATGTTTTAAAATGTGTAAAATAGTTTAAAATATCAAGGTTTGCACTAATAGTTTTAATATTTATCTCTTAAAAATTCTCGATACACTATAGTTTGTTACTAAAGAGGTGTCACACAGCGTTCGTCACTTCACAAGTAAAAGAAAATATAATTTTCAGTTGAACACAGCAATTTTGTCTTTGAAAATCATGAACAGTACAATATTTGCCTTGAAATAAACAACACACTGATGATGACATTATGCTATGTCGATAGTACTCGGAATAAAATAACATTTATCAACATGACGATTTTCTCACTATAATGACACCAACACCTTGTCGGTGAATATGAAAGGATCCACTTGAAAATATGTCGACAAAATATTTCTAAATTATTCAATAAAACCTGTCTCAATCAAAACATGCTGCCATTTTATATATATATATATATATATATATATATATATATAGATAGATAGATAGATATATGTATGTGTTTGTGTGTATGTGTGTGTGTTTGTATATATATATATATATATATATATATATATATATATAGCTAATATATATATATATATATATATATATATATATATATACAGTCTTTGAAGTATCGCTGTATGACTTCTTACTGAGTCTACGTGCTCGCTCACTGTGACTCCTACAACGCTGTTACCTCACCCCTCACTCTTCCGGTTACCTACAACCTTTTACTCTGTCACTCAGGAGTCGACTCCTCGGTCTAGCTCTCTCTTACTCTCGTCTCGTTCTTGCAGTAGTATATGTATATACTGGGTGAGTTGATTTGTATAAAAGGTGGATCCCCCATATATATATATATATATATATATATATATATATATATATATATAATTTCGTGTGCATACAAGGTATTGCAGTTAAATTTGACAGGGTTTTTTTTTCAAATGAAAAACAATGTGAATATCTAAGCCATAAATCAATTTATTGGAAAAAATAGAAAAGTGGAATACAATGTTATAATAATGAAAAGGGAGTTCACTCAAAGAAGTCTACCCTCAGCATCTACCACGGCCTCGATCCGAAATCTGGCACATTCGAACTTCACGGTGTCTCTAACGAGAGCTTCACACAGCTCATAATCCTGTCTTTCAGCTAGGGTCTGGTTTTTCAAACAGTGCGATTAATGTCTTTCTCAACCCGTCCCCACATATAATAATCTATAGGATTACAATCAGGAGAGTTAGGGAGCAGATATTGGAGCTTGTGAAATCGTAAAAATTATGTGACAACCACTTCTGAAGTTGTAAAAGTGAGCTGCATCTTGCTGCCACATATATGGTCTTCCAGCATCTAACCTCTCCAGCCAAGGTTTGACCATGGATTGTCAGCAACTCTATATAGCCATGTGAATTGGGTTTGAAACCATGTTCAAAATGAGAGGCAGCATTGTATCAACCTCAATGAACAAATATCATCACAATTTGGAAAAAACTTCATGATACGATGATTGTAGGTAAGCCATCTTTTTTTCTCGGTTTTTTGAAGCTGATCATGAGAAAAATCTTTTCATCATAGAAGAACAACATTATCTATGTTTCACCTCTTCAGTAGTTTGGTTGACTTTGTGAGACCGTTTTTTGAACCTGTAATAAGTTGACCTTTGCACCTCTTGTATGACTAGTAGCGGGTGTCCTCATTCAAGGCCAGCATCCCGATGGAAATTGCAACATCCATTTCCCGCATTAAAATCCGTATTCCCTTGCCTGGGTCTTCAATCCCATTCTCCTGCAGTTGTTGAATGTCTTCTGGTGGACAGAGACAATCAAAACGATTGTTATGTCATTTTCCACAAGCCGCGGCATCGTAATCTCCGTTACAGATCTCCATTTCAAGTCTTATTTTATTCACTTTGTCCAATTTTGCAGCTCTCATTTTGATGCACGGCATGAATCATTATGACATGTGTTACCTTTTCCAATATTCAGGTGCCTTCTACCCATCCATATCAGCTAGCATTGACAGCTCTAAAACTGTTGTTCAGAGGGCAAAAGCATTGAGCAGCCGTCATGATTGTAGCGTTTTGATGCCCGGCATAAATCATTATGACACAGGTTACTCTTTCCCAATATTCAGGCGATTTCAACTAGTCCAAGTCAGTTAACTTCTAAAACCGTAGTGAATAGGTTTCACAATATTGTTCACAGATATTCCTATACAATATGAAAAAATAAAAACATTGAACTCTGTTATATTTAGCTCCATGACCCTATATAATAATGTTTAATTGTGTGGGCATCGACATTTGTAGTTATGTAAACACAAAATTAATTATAGTGATTTTTTTAAGGAGAGCTGATAAAGTTATGGCTATTGACATTGACTAATAAGTCGAGAAAAATGATTTTTTTTTCTAATATCGAGTCCGTAAGTTAACTGTGAAGTTATTCTCAAAGAATTCTTTCAGTTTTTTTTTTTAATTTCTTCTAAGCTGCTTGCTAATGTCATTTATTTGTCGATATAACGTACATATATGGAGAGGACGCTTGATGGAATTATTGAAGATTTTGTTTTCTACATGACACATGTATAAAAGTGATAGAATTGGTTCTAAGTCTAAGTTGTCGTTGTGGTATTTGTTTGGTGCAAGATAGAAGAAGTTTTCGCAAAATAGTTGGTCTAATTTTTAGGAGGTGGTAACGAGGGTTGGTTGTAGACATTCTATAGGACAATGTGTATAGTGTCTTAAATTGGGACGTAACTGAATAAGCTTACAAATCTTGTGAGGTTAGGATGCCATTATACACAAACACACACACACGCACACGCACAAATACACACACACACACACACACATATATATATATATATATACCAACGCATTATAGACACTATGCCATGTCGAATATATTCCGAGGGGGAGAATATGCAGGTTTTTATCTCTAGTTCTTAACACTTCTATTTATACGTAACTGTTTTATAGAGAGAGAGCCGAGTTCGATTTCCAGTCGAATCCATTCCATTCACTTACGTACTAATACCCTTTGGGAAAGGTATTAATTCTTTTCTTCTCCCCCATCTATGGGTAAATAGTTGAACAGACTGGGTTTTACAGCCTTGGATGACAGCTGGTCTACAGTGGAAAGAAATGGCAACCTACTGCGGGGAAAAAATCTGCCTCGTCAATCATGTATCGAAAAATATATGATCACCTAAGCCTGTATCACTCATGACACATAACTAAATCGGAGAGCCGAGTTCGAATTCCAGTCGAATCCATTACATTCACTTACGTGCAAAAACTTTTGGGAAAGGTAATAATTCTCTTCTTCTCCCTCCAGCTATGGGTAAATAGCAGGACTGATTGTTTTTTTTTTCAGACT